TATATTTATTTTAGTGTATTGGAAGCTTCAAAAAAGTGGAAGTGGCTGGATTCTCTCCTGACTCTGAGAGTTTCTGCTGGAACCTGAAGATTCAGATCTACTCACTCATTTGCCACTGAAGCCTTTGCTGGCTTTTGTGTATTTCCCTACTCCCAGAGGTTTTGATGGTGCTATTTCATACTTACTGTTGATTGCTTTGTGTTGTTATTGGTTCATCTCCAATTAGTCCTAGCAGTCCTTTTCTGATTTGTCCTGTGTTCTCTATTTCTTGTTTTTTTTCTTTTTAAAAAATAAATGAATTAATTCTCCAGTCTTGTTCTTTTTCAAAAGGCAATGTCTATTTTCCTTAGTCAATTTCAGTAGGTAAAACCTAATGGGATAATCTTGTGAACCGCCAACCTTGAGTTCAGCAGTCCACTGTTTATCCTACAGCTCCACACTAAGACTCCAATAGGTTGATTATATTTTAGCATTAAGTGATTAGAGTTTAAGACTTTGACACACATTCATAATTCCTTCTGTTTAGGGGATAGAGATAAATAGTTTATTTTACTTATATTGTGATTTAGTTAGAAACATGACAAGTTCTTAATTTAAGTGATACTGTTTTGTGCTGTTTAATTATTGATTCATTTTCTGAGCTCTTAGTTGTTTGATAATTGTTTTTGGTACAAGGAAAAAATTTTCTTCTTTGAATCAAACATGGAATATGAATGCATGTCAGAATCATGTGAAGTAGACCATCCAGAATAAGACATTCACTCTTATTTCGAAGCAAGACCTAAATGTCTAAATTTTAGTCCCAAATAGCATTTAATATTATTGACATTTGCTATTCAATCTTATTTTGCTTTTTCCTGATTTACTTCTAGCTCTGCACCTAGCCCACGTCACTTACCATTATTGTGATTTAAATTATAATTAACAGAGATCTTATGCAGGCTCATTTTCTCTGCTCATTAGATGCCAGAAATACTAAGAGCGGATTGGTTTTCTTCTCAAAAATGGAGAATAATTAATTCCCTCATATTTACCATTTATGAAATCTAAAGATTGTCAGTAAGACAATATTAAGATTTTTCTGATTTTTGACTTGTAAAGATAGAGATTTCCTGTGCCTAAAGAGGATTGTTATTGTTGTTAAGTGCTGGCGAGTCGGTTCAGACTCGTAGTGACCTTGTTTCTGAGGAACGTCTGGTGAGTTTGAACCGCCAACCTCATGGTTCAAACCAACTCTGTGGTCCAATGTTTACCCTACAGTGCCACACCAGGACTCCTAGAAAGGGCAGGGAGACTTTAGTGATTACTTGAATAGGTGAAAGGCTTGGGTGGTGCTAACGAGAGCTCACATAGTTTCTTCTCTGCTGGTTCCATTGGGCTGAGTGATCTTGTTTAGGCACCTGTCTGCGATGAGTCAACCAGTTTATCTGAAATGTTTCAAAGACTAAGAATTAATAGTGCATGTCATCATTTTCAGGAGTTGGCGATGACACACGATCTTGGGGACCACCTTTTGTCGGGTCAGAAAGTACTTATTTTCTCAGTGTTAACCGAAACAAAAAAGTAAGAACATTATTCCTTATTTTTTTTTCTTCCTTTATGTAATTATCTCATATTGACAAAGTAATACAATACATTAACATTGTCAAGGCTAGTTTCTTTTTTTGTGTGTGGATTTAATTAATGTCTCAAATAAGGTGAAATTATATCCATTCACTGTGGTTAGTGAATAGAAAAAATAGAGCCTTCTATTAACCTTCTTTCTCTACTAAAGTACCTTAAAACATCTTGTGAGAATTTATAATGGAAACAGTCATTTGGTAAAAGAGAGAAATGATTTAATTCTTTACATTTGTTATTCTTTTGGAGAAGGCTAATTGTACATTGCTGTAGGATCAGTGCTGGACTGCTAACCAAAAGGTAGGCAGTTCAAACCCACTAGCTGCTCCTTGGAAACCCTGTTCAGGGTTACTATGAGTCAGAACTGACTGAAGGGCACTTAACAACAATTGCCTAACATCCAGTATCATCACTTGAAAAATATTCACTATAGTTCTTACTAACATCCTAACTTGCCTTAGTTGCAAATAAAATCAGTAAAGCTGATTTAAACGTGTCTGCATGAAGAAAGTAAATTTTCATTAAAACGAAAATCTGTGATACAAATGATTTTGTTGTTGAATAGGACTGTCAGTAAAAACCCCAAACTCACTGCCATTGAGTTGACTCCGACCCATAGTACTGCTCTAGTTTTTGAGGGGACAGTTTTACAGGGGCAGACAGTTTTATCTTTGAATGGCTGGTAGTTAACAAATATTTATGATAGTATTCTAACACATATTTCATTTAATTTTTAGAGCATAGCTGTTAATATCAAGGATCCAAAAGGGGCAGAAATCATCAAAGAGGTACTGTGTGCTCTATGGAAGGTATTTTACTACCTAGGCTGTAACTAGGCATTTGATCATCAGAGTAAAACTGTTTAAGGCATTAATTCATTGACAATCTGTAATATTGATATATAGTCCCTGAGAGGTATAAACTGTTAAACACTAGACTACTAG